GTCCGACGCGGAGCTGAAAGACCTTGCAGGGAAAGCGCCGCCAAAGCCCTGCTCATCCCGGGCGCCACCCCGATAGCCTAAGCCATCGAATCCGTCGGGGCGCCGCGGATGCATCGCAGACGGGGCAGGATGGAGCGTGCCCACCCGGAGCCCACCACCACTGGGGCCACGGCGACCTCGGGCCGTACAGCTCTCCCTCGGCACTCGCCGCGTCTGGGGAAATTCTGACAACCGGAACTCACGTTGCAAACCCGGAAATCCATTGGGCACGTGATCGTAGCCTCTTCCGGCGGCCATTAGTGACATGGTTGCTAGGGAGACGCGGCAGTAACCCTTGTAACTGTCGCCCTTAAGGAGGAGGTGGGAAAGTGACTGTGAGGTTAGTAGAGCACAGTACCAAAGAGATGTAAAGGAATTGGTGTGAGAGGTGTGGCCTGAATGCGTGGAGGTCGAATAAAGGTATTTCCTAGACGGAGATAACGCGGGGGTGGAGCTGACGCCAGAAATCAGATCTCGGCCAGAAGTGTCAGGCCCCACACAAAGGCCCCAGATCTAGGTCTTTTATTCCCTCGCTGGGCTAGTAGCCCGCCTGCTGCGAAGGAGCCGTTAGAGGTTAGAGTTTCGGCGTGTTTCTAACGTTCCATCTACCTTTGCCTCCCGCACTTAGCCTTTTGGGTAAAATCTATCGAGAGATCTGGTTCGGCCCAGTGAACCCGAAGTACTGTGGACGGCTAGAGCAAGCGTTCGGAAAAAAACGTCGCAGGAGAAAACCCTCCCTTCCCCTCCTGTACCCTTTTCCTGCTTCCCCCCTCTCTCCCAATATAAACTACTCTCCAGAATTTAGGAATTAAGCATTTTGCTTTTCTGAGGCCACAGAACAACTATAGTTTTCTGTAGCTTCTCCCCACTCCCCCCGTCCCGGTGCATCTAAATCGCGCAAGGAATTTAAATCCCAAACGATATCGTTCAAAATCGAGGCCCTAGTTGAAAATTTTTTGAAGACTTCTGAAGAGAGTCCCCTACTACCTGTTTTTATTAGCTCCATGGGCTCTCCAGGCACCATTTCTCCCCCTAGATCTGGTGGAGCCTGACATGGGTTCTTCCTGTGTCCTTTCTGCCCCACTGGGCGCCAGGATTCTGAGGGCTTTCGGAAGAGAACCCTGACGGACTATTCCCAATCTTCGAAGCGAACTTTAAAGTAATAATCAACTTCGTCTTGAATGGGATGGCATTTTTTAATTTAGTTGTAATGTAGGTTGGGCACACGTATTGAGTCGTTCCCTTATTAAGTGTATCTTGTGTTAACTTGAGTATTAATGCCGAATTACTGGATAACTAATAATCAAGTTACTGGACATGGCAATAAGCATATTTCTGTGTTGCTTAGAAATGGGATGGCTCAGGTTCAAAACTTAATTATTTGTTAAAAGAAGGAGAAAAAGGCCTTTGTGTTGTGTGTGTTTTCATATAAAAACAATGGCATCTCACAATTTTACATCCACACTAGTGGAGAAATGATGAATTAATAGAACAACTGGGTAGCTAGTTAAGGAAAGGAAACAATAACAGCCACACCTCACACCTTACTCCCAAATGCATTTCTGCTGTAATATAATTTTTCTTTAGTTTTAAAAGATTGAATACTGGAAGAAATAATAGGTGAGTATTTTTTAAATAGTATATTTAAACTTTCTAAAACTGACAGCAAAGTCAGAAGCCATGTAGGGAAAGACTAATCAATTTGACCATATAAAATTTAAATTTCTACGTGTTAACCAAAAAACTAAAAACATAATAATCAAAATTTAAAGACAAATCAGCAACTGGGAAAATGACATTTTAACATAGTTTAGACCATGGATCACTTTATTGTAAAAAAAAAAAAAAAAAAAGCTCTTACCAGTAAGGGAAAATCAGTAGAAATATGAGCAAAGGACATGAAAAGGCAATTTATTAAAAAAGATATGCAAATGGATCATAGTTATATGAACAAATGTCTGCCCCCTAGTAATTGAAGAATGGCAAATTTGAATAATAACCAAATTTTTCTCTATAAAAATGATAGTGTTTAAAAGGGGAATGTACATTATTATGCAAAGTGAGAAAAAAGTAACTCATTTTTGGAGTGATGTAAAAATATAACAGGTTTTTGATGGAGGGCTCTTTGGCAGTATGTATCAAAAACCATAAAAATGATTGTATCTTTTGACTTAAATCTAAGGAAACAAATATAAGGTGTAAATATTTACTAATGCACATGTTCATGATAGAATTGATCCTAATAGGATTGTCAGGATTCTAAAAAGCAATTTTTTATTCATTAATTATTAGTTAAAATAGTACATCCATATGGTCCTTTAATCAAATTATATTTATTGATCACCTACCTGTGCCAGATACTATTCTAAGCAATGAAGATAGGGTGTAAATATACCAGATAAAGTCCCAGCATTGTTGGAAACAAATATATAATGCAATGTCATAATGACATGTATTATATTTTAAAAATTAAGTGATAGAGACAGAGGTTTTAGATTGGGTGGTCAAGGAATTCCTCTCTGAGTAAGTGATCTTTAAACAGACCTAAATGAAGTATGACTCATCCAGGAGAATTTTCATGGTAGAACTAAGTTAAGGTCCTGATGACAAGCTAGGTAGCCAGCGAGCAAGGGCTCACTGAGAGCTGAAAGGAGGGTAGGAACCACATTTTGCAGAGCTTTGTTGGTGATGGGCAAAAACTAGTTGTGTTTAAGAGTAGAGTGAGGTGATCCTAATGATGCTCTAGAAGGATCAACCTGGCTTCTGTATGGGGCAAAAGTGAAAGTCTCCTTTACTTGGTAGACTTGGTAGGTGATTACAAGCTGCTGAGATAAGAAGTGGTAGTAATTTAATTGAGTGGTAGTGGTGAAGAAGATGGGAAGATTTAGAGTCAGCATGTTTAAAAATTACATTAAAAATAGATATTAAATGACAAATGAATATGTCCATGTTAAATTAAAAACATGCACAGTGTTTCACTTTTGTAAAAATAAAAGCTACACAATAAAAGGATATATGTTATGTCTGGGTGTAGGTTTTCCTATGAGTTGTTTTTTGTTTGTTTGTTTACTTTGCATTTTCATTGTTCTAAGATAGGGTTTTGGTTTTTTTTTGGCTCAGAAGAAAAATTACTTCAGAAAAGTTAATAGATTTAATTATGGGATACAGCAATAAAGTTCTTTGTAGATTACTAAATCTGTTCATGGCATTTAATCAATAGTCTATAGAGCACTATAAAGGTCCCGCCATCCTATATTTCTTCAAAATCTTTCTAAAAGAATGATGCTGAAATGGTCCAGAGAGTATAGTTTCAAACTAATTTGAGAAAGGCACAACGCAGAAATTAAAACATGAAATTCTAACATTTTAAAAAAAAGTCCAACATGTGTTTTATGAGAGTAACTATAATATTTGTATTAGTTATCTGTTTTGGCCTAACAAATTACCCCCAAATCAAGCAGCTTAAAACATTTATTATCTCATAGTTTCTGTAGTTCAAGAATTTGAGGGTGGCTTAGATTAGTGGTTCTGGCTCAAGTTTTCTCAGGAAGTTGCAGTCAAGACTTCAACTTGGGGTACAGTCATCTTAGACTTGGCTGGGCTTGACTGGGACTGGAGGATCCACTTCTATGATAACTTGCTCAGCTAATTGTGGAACTCTTGCTGGTTTGTCGTCAGGAGATCTCAACACTTTGCCACATGGGTTTCTCTATAGAATTTCTTCAGTGTTCTCATAACAAGACAGCTGGCTCCTTACAGAGCAAATGATCCAAGCGAGAGAGCAAAATGAATACACGCTGTCTTTTATGACCTAATCACACCTTATCACTCCTACCACATTCTATCCTCTATAAGTAAGTCACTAAATGCAACCCAATATTCAAGGGGTAGGGATTTGGCTTCATCTTTAGAAGGGAGGATTATCAAACAATTTGTGTTCATATTTTTAAATCACCAAAATTAAACCATTATATAACAATGTGTAGAATATATTTTAATTATCAAAAATAAATAATTAGAAACATTTTCACACAATCATTAATTGAATGATATAGATTAAATGTTTTACTTCTTAGTAAATAGATATGAAGGAGAGTTTTCTTGAAAGGAATCATATGATAGAAATATTTATAATCATGAAATAGTTTAATAAATATCTTTGGGTCCAATCATTATTCACTTAGACTTGAGTCAAAATACAAGTGAAGAATAGCAGACTATTTTGACAGTTTCTAAGGGTTGACATAGAATGAGAAGACTTGTTAAACAAAGATATAGAACAAGCAGGTCATTCATTTATATTAATGCCTTACTTAGAAATTCTGACACTGAATGAATTCAGCTCGTAGGATAAAATCAAACTATCCTTTTCTGTTCAAGAATTCACCCAGCACTATTTATTAAGCATCTACTATGTTCCAGTCACTGTATTAGGTACTGTGATGCAACTACCATTTTCAAGGATGGAATCTGAAGATATTTAAAATATTTTATTTTTAAAGTATATATGTGGACCAATAAACAGTTTGCACAGTTAAGTTTTAGTATGTAGTAAGCCCTCCTGTGCTTGTCTTCATAATGTTTTTGCTATCCTGCCATTTATTTTTTCAGATGAACTTTAAAATCATTTCATTCTTCCTCCTCACTGTCCTAAAACACACACAGACACACACACACACACACTGAGATTTGAAGAGTCCTGACATAAAATTTATATGGTAACCCTAAGAGGTTAGATTTTTTTGTTGTTGTTGTTCTATGAAATATTTCCTTTAAGGATTCATGGTTTTCTATTTGCTTAGGTCTATATTTATGCCTCTAAGTGTGTTCTCTTCCAAAAACATGTTATATATTTCTATCTGTTGAGATCCATCGTTTCGTGTATAGTGTGAGCTGAGGGTCTAGCTAAATTCCCCCAGCCCACAAGAGTGGAACATCTTTATTTTATACTCCTTTGTAAAAATTGGTAAATGTCTCACTGCTTTCTATACACTTCATTATTTTAATTTGGATTATTTAAACTATAGATATATAATCTTTTTTGAAATATTTTTTGGCCATTTCATTTTGTGGCCAAGGAAAAATTAAATTGTTTAGGTTCATTTTATTTTAGGGCTCAACATCAGTTCTTTCCAACTTTAATATTTTTTTAGTTCTTAATTTTGATTAATGTCTAAGTGATCTGTCCTTTGGTTTATTTTGAATGGTTTAATCTTAAAGTGTAAGTAAAGTAGAAGAATTGTGAATGTTCTTTAGTTATCTTCCCTACAGAATTCTTGGGTAGCTACTTTTTTCTCTAAATGCTTTGTAGAATCAACTGATTTGTTGTTTTTATTATGATGAAGATTTTTTTTTAAACAACCTACTTTCTATTCCTTTCAGATTTACCTGTTTAACAGTTTGTTATTTTTTATGGTTTTAAAATTTTTCCTAGATCTTTTGAAATAAATTTTAAAAAAGAAGTCCACCAAGCTATTTTTAAGTGCAGCAGTCTTTACATATTCATTTTGTTTAAAATATAGTGGTACTCTTGATTTGCTGTCTCAAGTCTTTTTTTCTTTTTTGGATCACAGTGGTTTTCCTCCCTAATAATCCTTTAATATTTTTAATATTTTCTGTCCTTTTGAAACGCTTTCCATGTGTGTTGACACTCTAGAATCTGCTTTGTAAGAAATATCTTTGATAGTCTCTCTCAATTTCACTTTTGTTGTTGCCCTCAATGTAGTGATTAGAAGGGATGTGTTTCAGAGAAGCCTGGGATCAGATATTGTAATTTCTTTAAAAAAAACCTATTATTTAAAATAAATTATTTTTGAAGTCTTTATTATTGCTATTTTTAGAGCAGTTCTAGGTTCACAGCAAAATTAAGAGGAGGGTAGAGAGATTTCCCATTTACACCCACCCCTCCCTCCAATGGATAGCTTCCCGCATTATGAACATCTCCAATCAGAGTTGTAATTTAATCCATAGTTTATATTAGAGTTCACTCTTGGTACATTCTACGCATTTGGACCAATAATTTCTGTTTTAAATATCAAAGTGTAGTAAAAAAAAGTAAAAGGCTTATTTGGTGCCTATTATGAATAGACACAATTCAGGATTGATGTATTTCATCAAACTTAAATTCTCTTTTGAAGTTCTCAATTTTTTTAAGGCAATTTATTTCACCTGGACAATCCCTGCGTATTAACTTTGAATTTAATCAGGACTGCTTTCAGTAAAACCTTTGTGAACATTTGTAGAATATTTGATTTTGCTCACCCGTTAGTAGACACGAATTTTGTAAGGATTTAAATTAGGTAATTTTATTGGATACTACCTTTAGAATTATGCACTGTTTTTTGGTTTAAATTCGCCCCCTTGTAGTTAGCACATATAGAACACCTTGGATGCTTTGTTTATCCGTTATCCTAACTGTGGGGGACGCTGGCGGGCCTGGAGTTCTTTGTCAAAGGGGCTTTAGAACAGCAATTTGAGTAAAAGATATAGGTACCTTTGAATAGCGTACATACTGTTTTCATTTTAATTTTTAATTCAGATTTTATTTCGCCGTTGGGGTGGTGGGGCGCGAGGCTTTGGAGTAGGCATTTAGACACTGAGGAGACACTGAAGCACTGCTACTGCGCTTGCCGCGGCTGCTGGTCGGATATCCAACGTATGCACAATATTTAAAACAAATCATAACCATGTGCATTATGACTATTTTGAAGCTAATAAAGTTCTTTCACACATTATTGCTTGTATTCGTTCGAAAGTGAACACAGCTGTGTTGAGGGCGGAGAGGGCAAGGTGGAAGGTCCTGATTGGCTAAGCCCGGGTCAGGCGACTCTAAAGAGAGCAACCTTCCGGCTCCTTAGGGCCACGCCCACAGCGTGCTTAGCAACCGGTACCAGTGCGCAGCGACCCGAGCCCCGCGGTGAGTGACTGCTGGGTCTTGCTTCTGATGACTTGAGAGCTGAGGTTATTGCCACACTCACTATGCCGGGGCAACCCAGAGACCCACAGAGCCCCACAAATGGGAGCACCGAGTGGTCTACCTTAGGGTTTCGTAGCTCTGGCTGTTCGAAGAAGCGTTTACTCGCGCCCCGAGCCCAGGCCCGCCATGCAGGAACCCGCAGGTTCCTCCTAAGAATCTAGGCGGTCTCGTGGAAACACTCCTGCAGGGGCACGAGGGAGCAGGTGCGGGATCAGCCACCAGTTTTATTCGGTAGGGAACTAGCATTTTGCTTGAGAGACTAAAAGAGGTGGGGAACTTTCTCATTGCTATCAGTAGGAGAATTCTTTTATTTTCTTCTGGGCTAGGGCTTTCTTGTTTCTCGGGTAACCCCTAATTCCTTAATTCAGTATGCAGCTCGCCTCGCTGGACGGTTTTCAAGTCCTTTTATACTTGGTGAAATTGCGGCTCCCTTCTCTGCCCCCTCTCCACCCTCTCGTCCCCGGCCCCGCAGACTCATTTGTACTTCAAAAAATTTTGGAGAAGTGTGGGGGTGGCGGCGGCGGCGAGGGAGGGTCCTTGAGGATGTGAAGTAAAAACATTTAAAAAAAAAAAATCTTGAGAAAAGGGTACAAGTTATCTATCACGAAAAGTTTCTAGGAGAGGGTAAGGCGATGGTGGGATTCCCTTATTTACCTTATCTCAACTATATAGCTGAATGGATTCTATCTTTTTGGTTGTCTTTGGTCAACTAATCTTAGCTCCTTCCTTAAGGTAGCGGTCTAAATCTTGTATTTCCTGGTGTGTGTTACCTACACGAAGGCTTATCATAATTTTAATATTGTCTAGTTCTCAGAAATTGTCTTTTAAAGTATACCTTTCCAACCTTGTTTTAACTGGAGCTTAAAAAAATATACTAGGGATTAATATTAAAAACTTACAAAAAATTCTAAGTCTATGCAAGATAGATACGGAATGTATCTAATTCATACTTAAATTTAAATTTGATTATTCGCTAGATGCTGTCATATATTTATAGACTGTCTTTTTTGATTAATATTTTTCTTGGGCACCCCCTCCATATCACCTGGAGTCCTGTAATGGAGTTCACTGTCTTGAAATATTATAATGTTGGTTTACAGGCCAGTCCTTTTTCTCTAGATTTTTTAAGAGACTGTATTTTGTCTTTGTATCTCTCAAACGGGGAACTCAAACATCATTGGAACTTTTATTTTTGTGAAAACTGAACCAAATTGAATTTCCTAAATGACAGCTGCTTAAAATGAACAGTGTGAGTACCATTTGGTAGTGCTGAAAATGGTCAAAAACAGTAAAAAAAGAAAATTTATTTCTAGTTTATATGTATGTGTTTTTGTGTATAGTTTATTTCATACTGTATTTTTTTAGTAATAAAAAAACTTTCATTGAGCACCTGTTGTATGCCAGGCCATATTTTCTGTTGAGTATTGCAAACATAAAGCACTGGCACATAACAGAAATCCAATAAAAGAATTCATGGACAGTTACATCCATTTTTGCAATTCCTTCACAAACCATTCATCACATGAGTAGTTTGCATCAGTTTGCATCAAAGCCAAATGGCTTCCTATGGTGGGTGTCAAACTAAATAAAGAGGTAAACTGAGGCAAGCTGGAATTATCAGAAATTGAATTTATTTGGGAATAGCAGAGGAATTGCGGTTTGGGAAACAAACCATAGCAAGACACAGGTGAGTCCGTTGAGGGTTTGGGGTGGGCTGTATTTAAGCAGAGGAGGTCCAAAGAGGGAGAAGTCCAGCCAGAGTCTAGTCAGTAAGTTCACTGACTTGAGGATGGGAAGAGATTCCTGGTAGATACTCACTGGTCAGGAGATAAATCCCGGATTTCTGTAAGTCAGACATTTATAGGAAATCAGTCTTGGAGTTCTTAGGTTTTATTTTCCTGAGGGCAAGTGTGAGATTCTCTGGTTCCATTTTAGATTGAAATTGATTCAGTGAGTAAAAGATTTAAGATATCTAACCAAGTCAGAACAAAACTACCATTTAAGTATCAGCTGACTGCAATTTTCCTGACTAAAGTAAATAAGTGATTAATATGAAATGAATGAAAATAGTTCATATTTAAACTCTAGTGGGACTTTTCATTGTCCTGGGCTTTCAAAATCATAGGTGAATACTTTAAACACTGCAGTTTTCAGTATTTTGAATATTGCTATTTTGTACTAATTATGGATTATATTTACATTTATGATTTTGGAAAAATATCCATTACTTGGTTTATTGCTACCAAGTTAAAAACATGAAGTAGTTATGAGTCATAGTTGATGGACTTATGTGTGCAGAAGATACTCTACTTACTTTCAGTTGACTATGTACCCTCCAAGCCTTTGCTCTGGTTGAATATTCAGTCTTAGTTTTTATTAGGCCTGCCTCTGTCCTGGGGTTATACAAAGGTCTTTGGTGCTTCTGTATCAACAAAGCACTGGAGGGGCACTGCAGGGC